TTTCCAGTATGCAGTATTAGGCTAAATTGTTTCAAAAACTTAAACGTTTTCTTTTCTCTCTTGCACACTTGCACGTTTCTTTTCAATGATCTCATGCATCTTTTCATTCAGAATGCAGCAAATACAACCTCTATTCCCATCTTTCAGGTCAACAGCAATAAAATGGAATTTCCTTTTTGGATTTCCTGTTCTGTTCAATTGCTGAATTTGTTGTTGAATTTGAGTTGGGAATCAGATGACCTCTACTTTGAAAAACCAGTTTGCCCAATAGTGACCCAATTGCCAGTAATTGCTTTGTGATCTAGTCACATTCCTTATAATTCAGGTTTTCTTCTGATCCTTTATAATTCACTATTACATGACCTGTGACCTGCAGAGTTGGCAAATTAAATTAGGAATCTGAAAATCATAGTTAATAAGGTAGTGCAGTGTGAATCTAATTATAATATAAATCAGATGAAATCTCTTTAAGTGAATTTGTTTTTGATCAAAAATAAATGGAAAATAGTTTAAGGTTTTGAGAAAACTATAAAGTACACAATATAAAAATATCTACTGCAGATTACATTTTGTTCCTGCATTCCAGTAATCTCTTAACAATAGAGATTACTCTCTAGTCGGATATCAAATAACAATTAATTAACCATAGGCGGAAGAGTTGCTTTATGCAAAGCTCTTCCAAGAAACATTACATGCCAATATATTTCCTTTCTTTGGACTACTTCCTCTTATTTTCAGTTGGGTAAGTCTGCTAAGCTTATCTCCTCCTTACTTATGTCAAAATATGTAGAAACATGGAGTCTTCCTAGCATAGTTCTTTTAGATAGAAACTAAACTAGATTGACACCTGTTTGCATAAGTATATACCAGTGATGGCGAACCTTTTAGAGACCGAGTGCCCAAACTGCAACCCAAAACCCACTTACGCATCGTCGGGTGCCAGGTGGGCGTGGCCCATTGGGTGGGTGTGGCTGCGGTGGTAACGGCAGACTGGGACTAAAAAGTTCAATCAATCAATTCCAACTTTGCAAGATCTTTTTTTCCCCCGCGAGAAGTTGAAATTGACTGATTGATTGAACCTTTTTTTTTTTTTGCACACGGAGGCGGAGGCCTAAAGCGAAAAGGTTTTATAAAACCCAGCTGAAGGCCTAGTACTGGGGCGACGGCGTGCGTGCCCACAGAGAGGGCTCTGAGTGCCGCCTCTGGCACCCGTGCCATAGGTTCGCCACCACTGGTATATACAGTACTAGGAGCATAAGGTCATACATGATCTCTTTCAGCTGAGGTGCAACTGCAATGCCCCTCGTTGATCAGCTGACTCTGTCACTTGGCGTGGGTGTCCCACTTTGTCCCAGCTCCCTCTTGCTTCATCAACAAGTTGTGTTGAAAACAAGGAAAACCATTGAGCTGTTGGTTTGATCTCCAAGCTTGGTGATTTGGCTGCAAATGTTTTGTCTCTATTCAGGGGATATCTTCAGTGCGCTTTGAATTGTGCTCGTCTGTCAGAGCACTGGCCATTAAATACATTTTTGTATGATGTAAATTGGTGTGGGTTTTATTTGTCCGGATGTTTCTGAGTCATCGTCTGGTTTCGGGCTGTTTGATTGGCTGGCTATTGGTAAAATAGTCTTGCTGATCATGTTGTAGATCTTGTTGGCATAGCAATCTTGCTGTCATCTCTGAAACATTCTGTATGTAGGGAATTGTGATTCGTCTGGTTGTTGTTGTTCCTATTGTATGGTAGTTCTGTTGCTTTGGGTGCTTGTATTGTTTGAGTGTAGCAATCTCTGGATGAAGTTTTTTGGGTCTCCATTTCTCTTGAAGACTTTCTATAAGTGTTTTTGTTCTGTTGATCTGGCTTCGTGGTGTTGCAATGGGATTCTGCTTTCTCGAACAGTGTTCTGATGCAGCTTTGTTTGTGGCATTTGGAGTGGTTGCTGTGGAAGTATGCCAATATGACCTCACAGTAGTCCACAAATCAGCCTCAACTCTCAGACAGACCCTGTCAAAACCTAAGAAGGAGACAGAAACAAACCAAAGATCAGGCATCATATACTGAATCCAGTGCAGCAACTGTGAAAAAGAACTATGTGGGCCAAACAGGAAGAAAGCTATCTACCAGACTGCATGAACATTTCTTGGCTATCAAAAGACATGACCTACTATCCTTCATGTCCGTCCACGAAGACTCAGAAGGACACAAGTTTGATCTAACCGGGACCACAGTTGTAACGCAAGCGAAATCAAGGGGAGAAAGAGAATTCCTCGAAGCCTGGCTCTCCATCAATAAGTCAATAAACAGACACATTGACATCGATCCAGTCTTCCAACCACTGAGAATGAAAGAACTACTTCAACCGCAATCCTGAAGGCATCATTTAAAACGAACAAACAGGCACCCCACCAAACAGCAACAAAAATCACAACCCTCCACAAGAAACCAGACCATGTCTCAACAACAGCCAGCCAGCCAAACAACCCGAAACCAGATCATGACTCAGAGTCAACCAAATGAGCAAACGCCATTTGCATCACACAGACGATAGCCAAACACCAAAAACTATGGCCCAGCAACAACAACAAGCCAATCAAACAGCCTGAAACCAGACCATGACTCAGAAACATCCGGACTAATAACACCCACACCAATTTACATCACACACAAAGGTATTTAATGGCCAGTGCTCTGACGGTCGAGCACAATTCAAAGCGCACTGAAGATATCCCCTGAATGGAGGCGAAACATTTGCAGCCAAATCGTCAAGCTTGGAGATCAAACCAACAGCCCAACTACTAACCTAAGCTACTAATATTCAAACACATCTCAAGGAAAACCATTTTCAGATAGTAAGCGTTCATGCAAAAGTTGTGTTGCCACTGTGTAGCCTAGATGGTCATTAGAGTGGATACCAGACTACAAGTAGTCCTTGCCTTATGACCACAACTGAGTCCAAAATTTATGTTGCTAAGCAAGACTGTTGTTAAGTGAGTTTTGCCCCATTTTTTGCTAAGTAAATAACTGCAGTTATTAAGTCAGTAACAGGGTTATTAAGTGAACCTGACTTCCCCATTGAATTTGCTTGTCAGAAGGTTGCAGTGATGATCACATGAACCTGGGACAGTGCAACGATCATAAATACATGCCAGTTGCCAAGCATCCTAATTTTAATCAAGTGACCATGGGGATGCTGCAGTGGTCATAAGTGTGAAAAATGGTCATAAGTCATTTTTCAGTGCCACTGTAATTTCAAGTGGTCACTAAATGAATGATTGTAAGTTGAGGACTATCTGTATCACCACGCTCTGGATCCTAGTATCGAAGCCTGGAAACAGGAAATCAGGACAGGGTAAAGAAGCCAGAATGGAGAGGATAGGGGATACTTGTCATCTTAAACAAGCTCCAAAATGCTTGTTTGAGGTTTGTGTCATGTGCAAAGAATCAAGACCGCATGTTAAGTTCTAGTTAAGAAGATTTATTGCTCACATTATACTCAAGAATCTAGTCAACTAATGGTCAGCACTAAATTGGCATTAGATAAGAGTCAACGGAATTCAAGGGGAGGACTGGACTTGGATCACTTGTGGCAACGTAAGGACTTCAGACTGATTCCTCTTTTGACTCCCTCCCCCCTCAGGCTCTGCTTCTTTTTCTCCTACCGTTTGTTTTTCAAAGCAGAGGGCGGAGGGATTTGGGTTTTTTGGGCAGAAATCTGAGGGAACTTGATGAGGTGCTTCTTATTACCAGCTGACCAGGAATGGTGAGATGATAGTTCCTTTTGAGCGTTGCAGGCTTGCAAAAAATAAAAGTAAATTAACCTATTCCAATTGCATTCTTGTAACCTTACCTAATCAGATAAATTTATTTAAGCCCAACTTAATTTTTTATTATGAATCCAGATGACTTTGGAATGGGAAACCTGGTCAAGTTCCCTTAATGTTTATACATTTCATAAAATACCATACAATATTGCAATTGAAAATAAGCTGTGTTGGATTTTTTGGGTGAGGGGTTGTTGATTCTAGGGATCTTTTGTCTTTCTAAGCCCATCAGCTCTAAGCTTCCTGGCTCCAATCTTTCTGAAAGGATGATCACATCTGCATTTCTACAGACCTGGCCTCTGCTTGGGGCAGGAAACTTCGGGGTGGGTGGGGGGTGGTTTCTGCCTAAAGATTTCCATTATTTCTTTGAGAAATACTGTATATTCTGCCTTTTTAATATTCCCCAAAATATAAGTTTCTGGCCTCTTAAGCACATCTTTCAAGCCATATTCATTCTGAACATTGCAACTTCCTCATTTTTCCCCAAGAAATCAGTTAGTGACTTAGATTATAAGAATATAAAATTGTTTAAAATATCTAGAATAGTATTTCTCAATTGGGATTGAAGTCGATAAGTTTTCCATGAGATACAATGATTTAAAAACATTGTTTTTTAATGTTTAATATATTGTAAATTATAGATATAATCAATTTTATGTATGGGTTCCGTGATAATTATTTCATTGATTTCTTGAAGGTAAAAAGTTTGGGAAAGGTTTATCTAGAATAGTGTTTCTTAAAGGGTGGTTTGACTGATCTTGGGGTCCCCTGAAAACCTCTCAGGGGTCCACAAAATCAAAATTATTTGCCTGGTATTGAAGATACTTGCAAAAATGTATAGCAATGTCACTCACTCATGTCATTATTATTTATTTGTGAAGAACTTGGGGTCTTTCAAGAGAGTGATTATCTTATTATCAGTTGCATCGATCCACCTACAAACAGTTCAATAATAATGTTTTTGTTATGTGTATTAACCTAAAAGAGACAAAATATGCTCATTTTACCACCAAGAATATCAAAGCTCTTTGCTCTTTTTGAGTCGACAGCGATTGTTTCTGGTCTCGGCTTTGGATTAGTGATGCTCTTCAAATGTCCTGCCCTTAGTTATTAATGAAATGCACAGAATTTGTAATTCGTAAGCATAAAGCATTTCCCCCCCCCTTTTTTTTCTGTTGCAGTTGCTAGGAGCGTTTATCTTAGCTGTAGGCATTTATGCAGAAGTTGAAAGACAGAAATATAAAACCCTTGAAAGTGCCTTCTTAGCTCCAGCGATCATCCTTATTCTCTTGGGCATCGTAATGTTCCTTGTGTCCTTCCTGGGAGTATTGGCTTCTCTGAGGGACAATTTACACCTTCTTCAAGCTGTAAGTATTTTTATTTAAGTAGAAGCCTATTTTCCTTGACCCTTCTAAAACGACTTCATTTCCCTGTCTATAAACAGTTTTAAGAAAACTCGTCTAATCACTTCCTTCAGAAAGTAGCAGAAAGAAATTTCAGTGGGTCATTGTTGGCTCATGTCAAGTCTGTCAACAAAGCAGTTTTTATGATTCCTGATAGGGATCTGGAGAAAAAATGCTTTTAAAAAAAGAGCTAAATGGAAATACAAAAGTAAAATTCATTTAAGAAAATTCAGGCCTTTAAAGGCCTTTATTCTTAATTAATAGTTAACCCATATTTAATCTACCTCCCACCTGTGCATCCTGCTCCTTCTCTGCCTGTCTTTTAATTCATATTGCTGCATTTTCATTGTTTATTTTATTGTTTCATTGTTTTACTATTGTTATGTGTACATTTTTTATAATTTTACATATTTACTGTTGTAAGTTGCTCAGAGTAACCTCACAGCGAGATGGGCGGCAAATAAATTTAATAAATAAATAAATATGCTTGCATAGTGTAATGTTAAAAAACAAATCAAGACCATTCAAAACACTACAATCTAGATCAGGGGTCTTCAAACTTGGCTCTTTTATGACTTGTGGACTTCAACTCCCAGAATTCCTCAGCCAGGCACGCTGGCTGAGGAATTCTGGGAGTTGAAGTCCACAAATCATAAAAGGGCCAAGTTTGAAGACCCCTGGTCTAGATATACATCTTTCTTAGAAATCTGAGCAAGAGTCTTTCATTCTTTCATGCTAGAATGTTGTTCAATTCCTTAACAAAACTAATTATTTTGAGATAAATTATATGTTTACTTAATAATTTAAATTGAAATGAAAAATAAGTTTGAATTTAATTATGTTATAGTGTCAATTAACCCTTTATGACTAGAAGTATTATTAACATTTTGTTAGCCTAGTGACTGAGATCAGAATTGGAATTGAACAAGAGTAAATAGTAACATTATTAACTAAATTTCATGATGATGATTTTAAACATTCAGAAATCTCTTTTAATAAAGATTAAATTTAATTTGAAAAGGAAATTATAGGATGAGAATTTGTTTTTTCAATCAGGCATAAGGGAAAAACTGATTAGTACTCATCAAACTTTTGTGGAGACAAATTTGTGGTGACTTTTGTGATTTTGTACATATTGTAATTAGATATGTTTGTAATCAAGTAGTACTGTACAAACCTATGAAAGTCTGTTGTAGCTTAATTAGATGCAACCAGTGTTTAAAAATTAAATTTGTAATAGTTTTGAGAATATGTAATTATGTCAAACATACTTAGCTTTTTTGAGACATTAGAGTTTAGAATCTGAAAAAAAACTGAGCAGAAAATTTGACAGAAAAATTGAAGGAAACTGATGTTGTTCCTCATCCCCAGGTTTCCATCAGTCTTAGTGTTTTACCACATAACAGTAATAAAAGGAATTACTATGTACAAATCATCCTTGTGAAAAAAATGTTAAATATTCAGCTCATCTATGTGTCCAACATAATGCCGCTTCCTGTAGTTTATTTCTTGATAGAGGGCTTTTCCCAATCTTTGTTGTTTTGTTGTTTGTTTCTGAATATGTTTTACTTTGAGTAAGTGAGAGGAAGTGGCTGTTTTCTTTAGAATCCTTCAAAATGCAATAATTTTACTGCCAGGACATTAAAAAAAAACCCCAAGGAACCCATCTTTTCAGGAAATACAAGAACAGGATGTCCTCAGCCGCCCTGAGTCCACCAGGAGAAGGGCGGGATATAAATACAATAAAACTTCAAACTTCAAACTATGGTGGTTGCTTTTTTTTAAAAAAAAAAAAACCATCAGTCTGGTATTGAAAGAGCTATATTGTTGGTAAACTGAGGTAAGGAGGACAAAGGGGTTTGGGCTTGATAAATATAGTTTGTACTTTTTCATATATATTCAGAGCTGCTGTTCTGCTACTGTTCAGACAGGAAAACTGTCAGGATTTGCAAAAACTTTTACAAATAAGAGAGGGCCCCTTACTTAGAAGAAGCTGTTGAGAATTGTACACCAATAAGAGGAAGAGCAGTGACATTTCCTTGCAAGCAAGAGAATGAAGGTAGTCTTTGACTTATGACCACAATTGGGTGGTCATAACTTTTGTCACTAAGCACCACGGTCATTAAGTGGGTCATCAAGTTACCACATCTGTCACTGTTTTTCACACTTACAACCATTGCAGCATTGCCATGATCATGTAATCAGAATTCAGATTCTTGGCAACTGCTTCATATTTATGATTGTTGCAGTTTAATTTATAATAATAATAGTAATAATAATAATAGTAATAATAATAGTAATAATAATAATAATAGTAATAATAATAATAATAATAATAATAATAATAATAATAATAATAATAATAATAATAATAATAATAATAATAATAATAATAATAGTAAAGTTGGAAGGGACCTTGGAGGTCATCTAGTCCAGACATAGCATGACGTATCGGAGCTTTTTTCCCATTGCCGGCAATGGGGTGAGCACGGTTTCCTGGTGAAGCGTCCGGCCCACGGGCCGGCAGTTTGACACCCCTGATCTAGTCCAACCCCCTGCTCAGGCAGAAAACCTTATACCATTTCAGACAAATGGCTGTCCAGTCTCTTCTTAAAAACTTCCAGTGTTGGAGCATTCACCGCTTCTGGAGGCAGGTTGTTCCACTGATTAATTGTTCTAATTTAACTTTTGTATTTGTTGAATAGTCCTGCGGCAAGTTGTTCTGCAATGAGTTGTCCGTGGCAAGTTCTCCCATTTTGCCTGGAGCAGTATATCTCTCTATGAAATTGGGGAGATTGGGAAAAAGATAACTTTTCTCCTGCTGCCTTCTCCACTGAGTAAATTAGAGCAAAAATCTCCCCAAAGCATGGCTACCAGGGCTGTTGCCAAGGTTTGGTCAAAAAGGTTAACATGGTATCTGCAGTGGTGCAATCAAAGCTCTGCCTGACCCATACAAACACACATACGCACATGGAAACCAGATAGAATTTCAACCATGCATTACAGCCACCATCCTGTCTTTTGGGACCATACCCGGTAGACATTCTTGGTGAGAACTCAAGTACGCTAAGCTCATCTCCAATTGTTCTGAAAGTTATTCTAATTAACTATTGTAAAAGTAAACATTCATCATTTCAAAACTAAGGCTCTTGTGCTGTGCAAGTTTTATGTAATATTTTTTTTAACTCCTTCTTTTGCAGTTCATGTACATTTTGGGCTTTTGTTTGCTCATTGAACTAATTGGTGGAGTTATGGCCTTAATTTTCCAAAATAAGGTAAGAAAATGCTTTGCCAAATTAACCATAAAGTTAGGTTAAAAAAAGAGTCTGGATCCTGCATAACATTAAGATATTAACATTATTAATTAAATTGCATGTATGTTTATTATTAACAAAAATATTGTGAGAAATGTCTGCAGTGAAGACCAATTTAGTTTAAATTTAGTTTAAATTGTAAGTAACATGTACTAATTAAATATGTACAATTTAAAACTTAATGTCTGAAGTAAGAGGATGTGTAGTCATGGCCAAGTTACAGAAGAACATGCCAGATGCAGGGGTCAGTTATATTTGGCTCTGAGAAAGCACTTCACAAACTGTATTCTGACAATCTACATATTCTGCAAACCAAGCACTTAATTGTTTTTCATTTTGTACAATTTATTCTGCAATGTTTATTACTTTGCATTTGATGTTATCCCAGTCAGAGTAGTTTACATTAATCCTTCTCGCTCTCTGACATATTTTTAACTATCTTGATAACCATGAAGTATAAAAAAAATAATTTCTTTGGAAGTTGGAGCCAGTATCTAATATAATATCCTGTGTGCCTTCCTGTCATAGCAGAATGCAAGCATCTGTTTAAACTCTTTTGGCATTATAAAATTGCCTTTTCCCCTTGCATAGTCTTTAACTCTTTAGAATATTTTCATCTGGAAACTTTATGAGCTTTGAAAACTGTTCTTTTATAATTGATAGTATTTTCATGTATTAAAATATTGATGGATCTGTTGTATCAGTGAAATATTGAGGATTGAGTATCATAAATGTGTCATTTCTATAATGTAATTTTTAAAAGGTAGCAGTTTTCAAACTTAAAATTAATGATTGAAATCTCTGATAGTCAGCCCCAAATTGAAATCAGCTTTGTATGTTGGGTACTATTACAGTGGAAACACACTGTCTTCTGAATAGGAACAGTCTTCTCTGAATAGGGAGTGGTTAAAGAAGCTGGCAAAGAAATGACTACTCATAGCACCATACATATATCAAATTAATTTGATATAATGAGGCCATGTGATCCACTCACTCTAGATTAGGGGTGGGCAATTGGCCTCGTTTACGACCTGTGGACTTCAACTCCCAGCATGGCTCAGGATTTCTGGGAGTTGAAGTTCACAGTCGTAAAGGTAGTACAGGGACATATTTGCCCATTCCAGCTCTAGATAAATTAGCAGGATGGAAACTGGCTGCAAGATGTCTAGCTGGAAAATGAGAAATTATAAGGGAAGCAGGACACTTGCAGGTCCACCCTGCAGAGTAACTTTAGGATGTATCACCACCATCATTGAAAATTTTCACTTTGCAACTATATTCCATGAAACACAGTGAAGAAGAGGAAAAACAGTTCAGTTGGATGAATTAAACTTGTCTAATAGCAGAAGCAGATGAGTTATTTAGTTATTTATATCATGAATATTAAATGAATACCAAGAATTATTGCATAAGAACATCATCTAGAAAATCTCTAAAAACCATCATTTTGTAGGAGTGTTTTGTTTTGTTATGCTTTTGAGTCAGGGTTGATTCCTAGTGACTGTGTGGATAAGTCTTTGCAATTTTTTTGGCAAGGTTTTTTCAGAAGTGGTTTGCCATTGCCTGCTTCCTCAGGCTGAGAGAGACTGACTGGTCCAAAGTCACTTGACCTTATGGCTAAGGCGGGACTAGAATTCCCAGTCTCCCAGTTTCTAGTCTGGTACCTTTAACCACTTCATTGAACTGGCTCTTTGTCAAATAGGAGTAATTCATGATTTTTCTACAGTTTGGTCAAGCTAATTTGGCAAGTCACTTATTTGCCTATATAAAATTATCAGTTCACTTATTGCTTTCCTTCAGTAGTTTATTGAATTAAATCTAATATAATATTGCCATTTTTCTAAGACAAAAGCAGTGTGATGTAGTAACAGTTTAATAAACAAACCTACTTCTATTAGAATAATAGAAACTTTACTATTTTCTCTTTGATACTTGTTATGTAACACATTAAGCTGTCCCTCAATATCTTTCATTTGTAGCTTTGGTGATTTATTTAATGATTTCATTAAAATAGTTTCTACTTTATTTCATATCAAGGCCAGGCAGCCTTTTGATTGTGCTATTTTACAGTATTATTGTTACTTTTCCTTCTCTACAGAGCAAGCAGGGGTATCTCTAGGAGGGGGGGGGATCAAAACACTCACAATGGAAACTGTAACCATGTGGTCAAAGTCCTGCCCTTGTTGATGTTTGATCAAAAAATTTGGTCACAGGGATTATGGTTATGGCTGCCATATTAACTTTGTGACACCCTACAAAATAGGGAAGAGATCAGGAGGCCTTGGGAGAGGCACATAAACAGAGGTATTTGAGGGGTGCAAATGATGAAAACAAGGTTGTGCTGTTGCATTGTAAGCTCCACCCCTTTTTTACCTGCATTGGGACATCACACATACGAAAGGGATGGAGCTTGGGTTATTTTGATGAAAAGATATGATTATATAGCTGCCTCCAAGAAGCTGTATCGTCAACTAATGTATTCAGCTTTCTATGATTGTATGCTGACTTGTTTTTCTTTTACTTCTTTTTCCTTTTAAAGACAATTGAGTTTTTAAATGAGAATATTGGAAGAGGAATTCAGAATTACTATGATGACTTGGACTTCAAAAACATTATGGATTTTGTTCAAAAGGAGGTTTGTTTTTCACTATCAACTCAACCTTGCCCAAATTGCTATAGATTCATTAATATTCTAGCGGCCGACAATATTTTTCCCCGCAGATGGCTTCAAAGTTGCCAGAAATTCAGGAGAGACATGCTAGATTTTTGTATTCTTTCAGGAGAGCTTGTGAGATGTTGGTGATTGCACACAAGGTTTCAAAAATGGTGCCTGTCTTTCATTTCAGATCATAATACATTGTATTATGGTGTACATTCAGAAAAAAACAAACTTCATTTGATAGTAAAATGTTTAAAAGCTTTTGTGGAATTCTGCCAGAACTGCAGGCCATTTCTGCTGCTCATCCATCCATGAGCAATATCTACTGAACTCATAATAAAATTAAGAGTGACATTAGTTGACTACGAATAGAAGCCATCAGCAGAAAGAGAAAGAAAAACATATTTTATCCAGCTCCTTCCAACCATGATGATCTCTGTTAGTTTATGTTGGGCTTGACTCACATACACCGTATTTCATCTCTGATGTATACATCAGTTATAAAACTCGGGTGCTTGTGTGGCTTTCTTCCTTGCAATATATAGTTTATATTTAACTATGTATAGCTTTCCCACTGATTTTGCTAACTCTGGTCTGTAGCTGTATAGAGAAAATTCTTCCTCACCCTTTCTAGTGCCACTGCTGTAGAAATAGTGGATGGGGTGGGGAGTTCTTTCTCAGGCAGGGTTAGAAAAGGGATCACTGGAAATTTCCCTTCTCTGTTTCAATGCAATACTATAGTAATAATCTATTAGATATTAATAATATGTCTGTAAGAGTGACACATTACCATAATAAAATTATGACATTATTATGATAAAATTATGATAAAAGACTATCAAAGAGTGGAGATTTATTTGTTAATCATTTACACTACAATATTACAATTTACAATATAATTGTAAGCATATCTGATCTGTAATAAAACCCACTGAATTCAATAGAATGAAATCCTGGATTGAGCTGAATTTTTTTGATCAATAATAAGTTTGTTGAAATCTAAAACTCTTAGTGAAGGAAATAGGCCGTTAAATTCTCATGAATGTTTGAATTAGGTTATTTTTTTCTAAGCCGCTGAGAAGCTTAATGAAATAAAAACATCTAGAGAGGCATCATATATGTAGATGATAATGAAATCCCCTGTGATCATATAGATACATTGGAACACAAGCTGAATGGAATGAATGTAAGGTGTGGAGGAGCTTATATTATATTATATTATATTATATTATGTTATGTTATGTTATGTTATGTTATGTTATGTTATGTTATGTTATGTTATGTTATGTTATGTTATGTTATGTTATGTTATTATTATTATATTATATTATACTATACTATACTATACTATACTATACTATACTATACTATACTATACTATACTATACTATACTATACTACATTACATTACATTACATTACATTACATTACATTTTTTAAAAACATAATTAAATTAAATTAAATTACAATGGCAATCTTTCTTTGGAAGAAAAAATAAATAGTATTTATACCATTTTACTGCTTTCCAAGTCTCACATTTTTTTTCTGTGTTTATGCTAGGATTCACATATGCATTGGGATTTTCAAAGACCTTTAAGAATTTTTTAACCATTTAATTTTTCACATTTCTTTATTTTTGACCTTAATGCTGCTATTTTTAAAATTCAAGCTAACTCACATCCTTTTTCTTTGTTGTGTTGTTAATTGCAAAGTCATGTCCGACCCATCACGACCCCATGGACAATGTTCCTCCAGGTATTCCTGTCCTCTACCATCTTCTGGAGTCCATTTAAGTTCACGCCTACTGCTTCAGTGACTCCATCCAGCCACCTCATTCACTGTCGTCCCCTTCTTCTATTGCCCTCCATCTTTCCCAGCATTAGGCCCTTCTCCAGTGAGTCCTTCCTTCTCATTAGGTGGCCAAAGTATTTGAGTTTCAACTTCAGAATATGGCCTTCTAAAGAGCAGTCGGGATTGATCTTTTCTAGGACTGATCGGTTTGAACGCCTTGCAGTCCAAGGGACTCGCAGGAGTCTTCTCCAGCACCATAGTTCAAAGGCCTCAATTCTTTGTCGCTCAGCCTTTCTTATGGTCCAACTTTCACATCCATACATTGCAACTGGGAAAACCATGGCCTTGACTATACGCACTTTTGTTGGCAGGGTGATGTCTCTGCTTTTT